TTCTTCTTCTGATATTACTTCGTATGATGAGTATGATGAGTCAGAGAATTGATCGTTGTTGGTGTTTAGTGTGGTATTTGGATTATGGGGGTTTAGAGATATTGGAGATGATGCCACATAAGAATAGTCTTCTACGTCGGTCACCGTATACCTGGCTTACACAGTTCCGCAAGGGTTAGCAACAATCAGGTTGGACGTTAGAGAGTTGTTTAGTTCTATCCCTTCCGGGTACTCACTCCTATTAGTAAAAACCAGTACTATATACTTCTTTATATAAAATGTATAACTCAAATCTCAAATTGTTGGTCTTGTAAGTAGTATTAATTCCAAGTTCATTAATATCAATATTAAATTGAATTATTTGAAATTCTAGTATCAAAAGCTAAAAAATAAATAGGTTTTACTTTATATAATACTAGTTTAATAGGTAGCACTTTGCATTATCTATCTTTATACAGTTATGTTTTTGTAAGTTGTTTGAGTTATGTTATATTGTAATTATTATTAGTAAAATTTTTTTTTGTTTGATGTATTTTTTGGCTAGTTTATTAATCGAGTTATTTTGTTTATATTTTAAAAATTTTTTGTAATTGAGTATGTCAAGGGAAAACTTGTTTTCAGAGTTTTAATTTAAATATATGAAGTTTTAACTGTTTATGATATATCTATAATTATGTTAGATTTTCTATTAACAGTCAAGTGAATATAAAATACTTGTAAAAGTATAATGATGGGTTATTCTTATCGGTACTTATATATTAGTATGGTTGTTATTTTGACATTTTTTTGAGTTTATTTTTATGAGAATTGAGTGTAATTTATATATTGTATAATTATATAATATAGATGAAATGTTTTTAAATTGTGAGTAGATTTGGTAGTGAATTTATAATATATTCATGTCGTTATTTTTTTATAATAGTTTATTTTATTATGATATATATATATATTTTGGTTATATAAGTAGTGTCTGTGCGGGTTTTTTGTTAAATTTTTGGTTGTTATTTTTTGATATAATTGAAGTTTTTATTTATATGTACTGTGTGATTTATTATGCCATATTACACGGATACTATTGTTAGATTAAGTATATTTGTCAGAGAAAAATAATTACAGAGTTTTGTAGGCTGTTGTGGCACTTATCTAGTTAATCATGAAGAGAGTGAAATCAAGTTAGTTTTATTTTTATCTATTAATTCTGCTAAGTGTAATCCGGAGACTCAGGCTATTTTTAAAAGAGATTGTTTTTTTTCTTTTGCTAGTAAGATCATGCCTGGGTATTATGATGGTACAAAATATTAGTTTTTATTAGACCATGCAAACTAATAAAATTAGTTTTCATAACCTGGCCAGGTCATTTTTTTTAAAAAATTAAAAATTTTTGTTATAATAAAATTTTTTTTGAAAAAAAAATTAATAAAAATTTATAAAAATTTTTATATTAAAAAAATTTTTTAAATATAATATTTTTTGCTGGCCAGCTAGGTCCTATCTGCTTGTCCCATGTTATGAGAACCAACTAATTTAATTTGTATGACATTAGTCTGTTTTTTTTTATTTTACATTCTGAGTTTATTTTTTTGTTTAAATTTAGATAACAGTATTTATTTGACTGGTGTAAGTGTTCTTAGTTGAGCTAAGAGTTTGAATAAGTGTCTGTTAAGGGTTTCTCTAATAAGAGTTCCTCAAAAGTCACCACAGATATTAAGGAATAATGATAATGCTATTTTTAAAGTATTAGTTAATGACTACATTGGTCAAGAAGTTAGTTTTTTTATTAAGATTGTTTTTTTGCATTTTAATCTGTGATTTACTAATTTAAAAAATACAATTCGACCACAAAGTTTACTTATTTTTGTTATTGAGCAGATAGAAGTTATTACCAATAATTTTTTTATTTATGCGAAAAAGATTAACTATATTACAGCTGTTTTCGATTTAGTTGAATTGACACACTTTGCATAATTTTTTTTTTGTTCTGTGAGTCCCGTAAGTCCCATGAGTTCCATAAGTCCATGAGTCCGCATATACCCTGCATATATAGTAATTGTATATTTGTAATTGTTAGTAGTTTATTATTACAACAATGTACTAAATAGAACTATACATAGTAATTATTGTTATATATAACTAAAAATCACCATAATACATATGTTAAAGTTTTTATCAAAAATATGTCTTTACCAAACCCTCGTGAATATGAATTGGCACCTGCTATAGTTGCCAAAAATGCCTTTTTTGTTTTAAAGATTTGAAAAATCAAAATTGTTTATATGATTTAAAAATAAAGTCATCCCATAATGATACTTTTTGATCTATACGAGGGCAACAAATTTATAACCAATGTTATAAAATTTTTAAAACTCGTTCAGCTCAAATTACTTGGTTAAAAAGAACAAAGCAATATTTTTGGTAATAATAGTAAATTTAATAAAAATTTTGACTTAGCATTTTGTTCAACCTGTAATTCAAGATTTGATCAGGTCAAAGATCAAAAAAGCGAAAATAAAATAAGCCAAGATAATAACATAATTGAACAAAATAAGATCAACCAAGATAAGATCAACCAAGACAAGTTCGAACAAGACATAATTAATCAAAATTATGATATAATCGATCAGAATATAATCAACCAGGATATAATTGACTAAGAAATAATCAACCTAGATATAAGTAACTAGAATATAATCGACTATGATATAATCAATTATACTATAATCAACCATAATATAATAGATCATAATATAATCAACTATGATATAATTAATCATGATATAATTAACTATAATGATAATATAATTGACCATAACGATAATATAATTGACCATAACGATAATATAATTGACTATAATATAATCAATAATATAATCGACCATAACGATAATATAACTGATTATAATAACTATTGCTATGATAATGAAACTGAAGTAAAGACGAATAAGGTAGCTAATTTAACTGAGCTAAAGGTAAAAGTTATTATTGATATAAAAAAAACTAGTTCTCTAGCGGAAAAGTAGATTATATTTAAAGAAGAAGAAATTTATAATTTTTACTTGTTTCAATCAAGTTTAAATAATCATATACTAAAGTATTTAGATCTTTGATATACTGATGATGAGGATTATGAATTATCTTATAAAGGAAATGGTCGAGGACAAGCTATGTATGTAAATGATAAGGAAGATTTTTAAATTTTATAGATGAATATAAAAAACCTGATAATTCGGCAAAAACTATGTATATTTATATTATCTTAAAAAATCTGGATCGACTTTATAAAAGAAAGCCAGAGGTATAATATTTTTATTATATTTTGATTATGCTAACACTTTTATTTAGAATGCTAGTTATGACGAAAATATAAAAAAAAAAAAAATTAAAACCAAACCTTACTTCTAAAGAATCAGATTTGAATGAAAATAAGCACAATCAAGCTCAAATTATTATGAAGCTCCAAAATAAGTATAAGTGTTCACAACATGTTATACCTTGTTATGTTGATAATGAACGCCATCTCCAGTTAAATCCAGTTCGATTAATATTATGGGCTCATGATATTGTAAGTATACATTATTGGGCAAAAATTTGGGAATAACGGCAATTTGGCTCAACCAGGCAAATGATATTGGCTAACAAGTGCTGCTTCATGGCACTTGTCAGCCAATCATTTGTCTGGTTAAGCCAAATTGCCATTATCAGTATTCCCAAATTTGCCCAATAATGAATGGTGTTCCGACAATTTATGATCATGATTGCTGAGTTTTTTTTTTGAATATTGGAAAAACAAAATTACATTGTAACATATGAAAAAATAACAGAAAGAAAGTTTTTATAATCATATGAGTTTATCGAATAATATACTGTATTATTTATAATTTATTGTATATTAATATACTATAATATTTATAGATTAAAAACATGGCTACAATTGATATATCTCCAACCTATCCAACGTTTAGTATGGCTAATGCCGCAAAGTCTAAAATCCATAATCAAATACCTTATAATCAAAGTACACCTCATGGTCAAAGTACACCTTATGATCAAATTACACCTCATAGTCAATATCAAATTATATCTCACAGTCAAAATACTCCTCATGGCCAAATTGTACCTCAAATTACATCTTATCCTTCTACACTACTAAATATATTATCAGCTATGCCACCATTTATACCACCAACTATGCAACCTGGTTTTAATCCTTATGTATATCCCTATTATCCATTTTACTATCAAATACCTCAACCTCAAACTATCTCTGGATACAATATTTCTCTAACCCAATTTTTTTCAAAATTAGATCGAATTCACAATTGTAAATATGTGTATACTGCTTTTGAAAAATCCTTTGATGAGTATGAAATTACTGTAAATGGTATAAAGGAATTAACAGATGAGCAACTAGATAAATTAGGTGTGACTAAAGATGGTTGGCACATAAATATAAGACAAGAGGCTAGAAAATACTAATATTAGTAAGTTGGTATATATAAATTTTTTTATACATAGAAGTATTAGATTTTTTGTTGTACTGTATTATTATATACCATATTATAGAGAGCAAGTTTTAATTTCATTAAAATATTTGATTATAAAGTGTATTTTTATAATTGTCATCAATTAGATTTAAATTGTATACTATCTCTACATAGTACTGTAGTGAAAAAGATTCCTCTTTAATAAAGAAATAACTGGGTCAAGGTTTATAAAGATTTGTATGTTGCGATATAATTTTTTTATAGCCAATGAAAGTCGTGAGACTATTCTACTAGTATTCTACTTCTTTGCGATGTTTGTTGATGTTCTTTAATTATTATTCAACTATAGTAAGAAGTGGCAAAATTATTTTACCAGCATTTTTAAGTTTGTCCTTTACAATAACATAGTATATAAAAGATAAAAAAATAATGTGATGAAATTATATCAACATTATGCTTTTATACAGGGAGGTACCACAGTTTACTAAACGATTTATTGTGCTGCACAAGTAAATCATTCGATAATTCTAATATTTTTGCATTACATGCTCCTGAATATTGGTTCATCGATTTCATATTTCCTTCAATCTTTTGACTATAAATAGGCTAGTATCCAAGAACCTTTCAACACAATTTACCATGCAGGTCTCTTCTCCATGATCAATCTTGTTACTAATCTTGGTGATACATTTATTCCAACAGAGATTAGTAAAAGTATGAATCGATTGCTGAAGGCGCATTTTGGCATTCTCTCCTTCAAGAAATTTGTCAAGTTATTTTTGGAAAGCTTTGTCAAATTTGGGGTTACTGGGTTTTGTTGACCTGTAACCACTGGATATTGCCGATTAGCTTGCTCTTTTTTTAAAGTATATACGACATTATTTTTTTTCTAGATGGACATTAAGTTAAAATTACCATCAAATTTTCAAAAGTGACCCGATTATCATATCTGATATCAAACCGGTTCAGTTTTTTTATCAACCCATGTTGCAATTTCGGCTGCTTGTGTTTCATTAATAACTTCCATTTTACTAACAAGACATAATTTCGAAAGTCTTATTTTACCAAAATATAATTTCCATTTCACCTGAATATTAAAAAGATGAATAGTACATTCTATTTCTTTGAAAATATATTACTGAAAGCTTTTTTTACCAAAGAGTGGTGAAATTCTAGATCACCTAATAGCCCCAAAAAGGTATAAACTAATTTGCCAACAACTATTTGTTATGGTCAAGATCAGCCATATAATGAAAGCTGGAACCTGAAATATTGAGATATGTAGTGTGGGAAAAAAAAAGGCTTAATGTTAAATGAATAAAAAGCATTTGGGATTGTGATTCTGTGATCTCGTAATCACGTGTATAACCGATCGGAGTCAATCAGAAATTATGAATTGTTAGTTAAAGCACATAAAAAAATATGAAGTCAAAACTATATACAGTCTTCCCCCCATACAATCACCTCCTATATAATCACAAACTCTATATAATCACATAATTTTGTACGGGCATTTTTTTTAATATT